GAAGCTATCTGGGAAGTGGTGATCAAAGAGGTCCCCAAAAGAAGGGGAAAAGCCACTCCATGAATATTTGTTGAATATTTGTTATAGGCACCTTGTCTACCCAGGGTGTGCCATGAGAATCCCTTGTGGGGATTTTTTTTTTTTTTGGGGGGGGGGTTCCAAAAAATATTTGTATATTTTGGTGTCAAAAATAGTTTTCCTTCCTTAAAGAACTGGTATTCTTTTTTTTTATAAACAGTGTGGGCTAGGTAATTGATTCCATTTCCCTTTTTACTTTGGCCACACAAAGATAAGAGACAAAGCTGGAGTTTGTCCTTAGTAACTGCATATCTATGCATCAGTTTTCTTTTTGGACATTCATGGATATTTTTGTTTTTACTGCTTATGAAAACATAGTTCACTGCTGAAAAATCTAGAAACTGCAGAAGAGTTTAGATAAGAAAGAAAAAAATCACCAATCTTTGTAGGTATCAGTGCAAATTGTTTGGTCAACAACAACAACCCAAGCCCCTTGAGATTCTGACTCATAGGGACCCTTTGGGACAGAGTAGAACTGCCCCTCAGGATTTTCTTGGTGGGATAGTGCCTAAGGCACTTGACTGCTAACCAGAAGGCTGGCAGTTCAAACCCACCAGCCACTCCTCGGAAGGAAGATGGGGCAATCTACTTCCATAGAGATACCGCCTCGGAAACCCAAGGAGGGGTCGCTGTGAGTCGGATCCAACTTCACAGCAGTGAGTTTGGTTTTAATCTTTACAGAAGCATATCCACAGGTCCTTCTGCAGTCACTGGGTGGGTTCAAACCACCAACCTTTAGATTAGCCGTTGTTGTTATTGTTATGTGCTGTTGAGTGGGACCCGACTCATACTCATAGGGACACCTCCTTGGGTTTCAGAGGCAGTATCACTACAGAAGTAGATTGCCCAATCTTCCTTCCACGGAGTGGGGAGTGGCTGGTGGGTGTGAACCACCAGCCTTCTGGTTAGCAGTCAAGTGCCTTAGGCACTATGCTACCAGATTCCCTTTAGATTAGCAGTCAAGTTCTTAAAGTGTTTGCACCACCAGAGTTCTTGTCATATACATATATACCTATAAAACTTTTCAAGGAAAATTATACTTTAAAATAGCAGAGACACTTTTTCTTCCATGAGACTCAGCATGAGAATGAAAATAGGAAGGAGATGGGGACAATAGGAAGTGGGGATTAACCTAGCTAAATTGCAGGCCCTGGCAAATAGTAAGGTTACACTGAGAAATTGGAGAAGGGAAATGACTCAGTAACTTTGAGAGAGGGAGCAGAGGTGAGACAGCAAAATGAAAGAGTAAAAGGCATATTCTGGGTTTGAGAATGGGGAGGGAGAAGAAAGGAAGGCGGGAGCCTTAGGCACTAAATGATTTGAACAATAGGAGAATTTAGTTTTTAAGTCAGACCATCAGCAATATATTAAGTGCCTCTTGTGAGCCATGCTCTCTTCCTAGCTTTTTGCATTCAGACTGAGCCACTCTTGACATCATATAAGCTGAGTCTTAGACTTAAGCTGATTTCGGGTTGACAAGTCTGCAGAGGCTGGGAATTTGCATGCCTTTCCTCTCAGAGTTGTTTTGGAGCAATGAGAGCTGCTCCCTTAAGAAAGGCTTCCTCTTATACTTGAGTCTTAGAGGAATACAGTGACTGACACTTTTAATTAACAAATCCGCTGGGAACAAAACTTCTTTGAAAGCATTGGCTGGGGTGTGGAGTTTGGAGAATGGGCTGCAGTCTCCCATGGCATTGTGGGAGTCCTGGAACATCAAGCCCCATGGTGAGCTGTGCATCTTCAGGGTCAGACTTACCAGGATGAGGGCAGGATGGCCCATCCAGAAAGCCCCACATTGATTGAGTCCCAGGGGACAGAGGCCATTAAGTCATGGTGGCTCTCCTTAGAAGCTGGGCAGTTGCAGGGCATTCTGTGCTGGGTGCTCCTGCCCTCACCTGAATTGGTGTCACAGTCCATTTGATAGCATGGGAGGGATGTAGTGAGCTGTGCCCTAGGGCAGAGGGGAGCACAAGATCTGGGAATGCATCTTTCCAGCTCCTGTGTTACTGGTAGCTGAGTTTCTGACCACAGCAGTGTTCTTTACATCTCATTGCTGGCTCAGCGGTAGAATTCTCACTTTCCATACGGGAGACCCGGGTTTGATTACTGGCCAGTGCACCTCACTTGCAGCTACCACCTATTTGTCAGTAGAGGTTTGAATGCTGCTTTGATGCTGAACAGGTTTCAGCAGAGCTTTCAGACTACAGTTGACTAGAAAGAAATGCCTGGTGATCTACTTCTGAAAATAAACCAATAAAACTCCTGTGTATCACAACAGTCTGATCCACAACATATCTTGAGGATGGCCCCAAATGGCACAGTGTTTCATTTTGTTGTGCATAGGGTCCAACACGATGGCAGCTAACAGCAACAGTGATATTAGAACCAGCACAGCATCAGTATCCATGGTGTCAGAGTGTCTATGAAAGGTTTATGGAGAGCGGAGGATCCTTTTCTCCTGTTGCTGTGATGTGACATATTTATGTAAGGCGTGTCTACCTTAGAAAACATTTTTAATAGTACAGTCTTGAAGGAATAGCAAAGGGTTTCTTAGCTTTAATTACTTTGTTAAAGAGAGTTTAACTCTGATATCCTCATCAAGTGATTCCTTACTCCAAAAGCCTGCGACAAACCTCCTGAGGTTGGCTATGCGTTTTCACCTGCCCAGAGGTTATAAAAGGATTTTACACACACTTTAAACAGAACTACAGTTGTTTGGCTGGAAGGGTTACTTACATTGTTTTGTTTCCTTTCTTTTTTTCTCCTCTATTTTTTATGCTCAGGGAAATGACTCTCATGTCTTTAGTTCATTCTGTCCCCACCTATTTTTCTGTTTCTTTTAAGAAGCTAGTCTCAGTTCTTTTATGTTTATCCCACCAGTTCATTTTTGACTTTTTTGTTGTTGTTCCCTGTTCATTGACATGAAGATTGTTGGTGGCATTTACATGTTACAATTCACCAGTTGAACTTTGTTTTCTTTGTAGCTACTGAGGCCAACTTTGTCATTATGTTCATTTATAGACCTTCTTAGGGAAAACATCCAAGTTTTCGCTCAAGGCCATGGATGAGTTCCCCAAGGTCAACAGTATGAGGCAACTTCAAGTTTTGGAAGAATTTTAGTTAGTGGCAGCATTTAAATGTGAGGAAACAGACCAAACCAAACCAAACTCACTGCCATCGAGTTGGTCCTGACTCATAGAGACCCCTCCTTGGATTTCCAAGGCGGTATCACTACAGAAGTAGATTGCCCAGTCTTTCTTCCAAGGAGTGGCAGGTGGGTTTGAACCGCCAGCCTTCTGGTTAGCAGTCAAATGCCTTAGGCACTATGCCACCAGAAGCAAAAGTAAATAAGACAATGCAACTCTAGCGTGAGGTCATTCCAACAGCTAAGATTAAATCTAATGATAGGAAGACTGTTTTCCTACAGTAAAGACCAAAAGAGGTCATTGTCATTTGAAATTAAAATGTGTTTGGCAGAAAGAGCAATCATATTTCTTTGCTTGTGTGTCTAAGTATGTGGGGTTAATATTGCCAGTTGGTTTAGAAGAGGCAAACCTGGTTGCCCAGAAAAAGGGATGACATTCAGTTTCTGCTGTCAAAGTTTGTTCTCTTTATAATATGAAGTTGTTACTGTTAGCTGCCGTTGAGTTGATTCTGACCTATGGTGACCCCATGTGGAACCTTCCAGAGGCTTTTCAAGGCTGTGACTTCCTGGCAGTAGATTGCTAAGCCCATCTTCAGAGTTGCCTCTCTGGGTGAGTTCAAGCCACTAACCTTTTGGCTAGTAGTCAAGTGCTTAACCATTTGTATCACCTGGAGACTAAAGTTTCTTGTCTTTTATGGATACTCTGATGCCATTCAGAAAGTAGTGGCACCAGATGAATCTGCTCATCTGTAAAAGAAAAATACAGTAGATAAACTGTCACAACAGTAGAGGTTGATGGATTGGATCTACAAAGCACCAGGCATTCCTACCAATTTTATTCCTGCCAGTTCACTTTTGACTGTATTTTTGTGATGTGGTTTGGGTGGTGGTCGGCAGAGCTGGAGGCCCATCCGCTTTCTGAGGCCATATTGGAAATCTTGGGCAGAAGGCTGTTGGGCTGGTTCTCTGTGGTTAAGTCCTACCAACAAGTATTGGAAATAGAATGTAATCAAACGTCTGACCATATACATCTTCTCCTCAAAAACCTTAATACCTCAACATCTTAGTTTCTCTGTAAGCTGACATTTGTCAACCTTCCTATACTTATTTCCAGGTACTCTTTATCCTCTAGCTACATAGTTGTTACTTTGCTTGGTAGGAGCTAAGCTTCTTGAGAGATTTATGTGTGACCTGAGTGGAACTCGTAGTACCTTATGCGTAGTAAAAGGTCAGTAATGTCATGTTTACTAGATTGCTTCCAAGCGCCCTGTCTTTGGCTGAAGACAGGCGGAGGTATCCTCATTATGTCAATTACATAAGCTAGGAGTATGTGGGAGGGCTATGGGGCAGGAGAACATAGGTTCTGCTTCAGGAAAGGAGTTCACACAATAGCATCCCATTGATTGAAGCCTGTAAAGCACGTGAGACTGGGGAATGTGGGCTACTCAATGGCTGAGGGGATGTACATAAGCTGGAGTTTGTCCCAGGTCAAGCAAAAACCTGCTTGCTGTTCCTAGAGGCAGTCCAGGCAACTAAGTCAGGGGCTTGGGTTCAGAGACTGCCTTGAAAAGTCCTCAGTGTGCCTGACTTGGATGGAGGGATAAATGGTCAAGCCTGACTTGGAATGAAAACAAACACAATTTGCAAGTCATTTGTAAGCAAATCCCAAGGGAAGAGCCCATGTCTCAGCGTCACTTAACTGTTGTGCTGTTATTGGTGATGGTAATAATGATAATGATGCTGACAATTAAAAAGATAATTGTTTTCCTTCTTTTAGTCACATAGAAAAAATCACCACATGGCAAGACCCTAGGAAGGCGATGAATCAGCCCCTGAATCATATGAACCTCCACCCTGCCGCAACTTCCACACCAGTGCCTCAGAGGGCCATGGCAGTGTCCCAGCCAAATCTCGGTAAGCCCACAGCTTCTACTAGGAAATGATGGACAGGTCTTCCACCAAGGGGCTCTGGAGCTCAGAGCAGCCCTAGTTGTCTCAGTGCCTCACCGTGGGCCTGGAGAACATTCCTCCCTCTTGGCTGCACTATCCTTCTTTTGGCTTTGCCTTCTTTTCTTGACCTCTTTGACACACAGTTCATGATACTGCTACCTAGGTTTCCACTACATTTTTGGCATTCCCTCTAATTGCCTTTATTCAGGTTCTTTGAAAAAATAACCTAGGTCTTCTATTTCAGATTAAGGTAAGTAGAATGTGGACCCCTTTCTATGTCTTTGAGTCCTGAAGACTTCCAAATGTTATGATTCTGGCCTTATATTCTTGTCTTTCCATAAGGAATTAATATTAACTAATATCAACGTGAGGAGCTCTGGTGGCATAGTGCCTAAGGCATTTGACTGCTAAGCAGAAGGCTGGTCATTCAAACCCACCAGCCACTCCTTGGAAGGAAGATTGGGCAATCTACTTCCATAGTGGTACCACCTCAGAAACCCAAGGAAGGGTTGCTAGGAGTCGGATCCAACTCAACGGCAGTCAGTTTGGTTTGGAGTTTTTGGTAATATTAATGTGAAGGAGCTCTGTTGGCATAGTGAATAAGGCATTTGGCTGCTAACCAGAAGGTTGGTGGTTCAAACCCACTGGCTGCTCCATGGGAGGAATATGAGGCAATCCACTTCTGTAAAGAATTACAGCCTTGGAAACCCAATGCAGGTCGCTATGAGTCAGAATCAACTCAATGGCAATGGGTTTTTTGGGTTTAATATTAATGTGTGACGGACACAATGCCAGGTGCTTTCAAGCTTTATTAAATTCTCACAATGACACTGTAATAAGTAACAGAATTCCCATTTCATAGATGAGGAAACTTTTCCAAAGTAAAATAGCTTATGGATATAGCAGGGCTAGAATTTGAACCAAGATTGTTCTGACTTTAGAATGCGTTTAACCATTGCATCACCTACAGGTGGCTCCTCCCTTCCTCCCCATACCTGTCCTGGGATAGTATGACTCACTCTCCACTTCATTTAGAATGCCTAAGTGTGATTTTAAACTTCAGAAAAGAATGTTTTCTGCTGATTGCCTTCACTTAAAAAAAAAAAAAAAAAAGTTATGATTTTTCCCTTTATAAGGTGAAAAATGAAAGGGGCCGTTACTAAGGCTTTATAAAAGATTTTGCCATTTTCAGGTAATATTTCCACTTAAGATCAGATACCCAGATACTGCTTTATACATGAAACAGTTAATTTTAGGGAGTGAAAAGAATCTCCTGTTGGATTTTCAGGAACCAACAGGATAAAAATGGAAGAGTTATTCCTGGACACCCTTCCCTCAGACTGTGGCCAAAGTGAATATGAACTCAAGTAGACTCGAGTCAGCTTCAAACGAATATATTGTCTGTTCTTCCAGGAAGTCTAGACTTAATGTTTTAAAGCTTGCAGACGTAAATTATATCCAAAAAGCAAATGGTCTGGAATAACCTCTCTTATGTTTTTTATCTAAAGGGCAGATCAAAGAAAATGGCACCAATGCTTCTACCAGCAGTGGTGTATGAACACTTCCCGTGAGCTCTTTGTCCCAAGTGTAAAAGAGTTCCTGTAGAAAGCAGATGCTAGTGTAGCAGAGTAAAGGAAGCCCAAATTAGGTGGTGGTGGACCAGTGGGAAGATTTCTTTAAATTGTTTAACTTGCAGTGGAAATTCTAAAGGCTGATTATTAAAGTATTACGTTTAACTTTACAGTCAGTTGTAATTAGAAAGGATTATTCATGGACCTGGTTAAAAAAGTTCAGACATTTCAAAGTGGTGTTCAAAACATAAACCTTCCTTCTATTCCACTTCTCCAGTTTACTTTCCAGAGCCACCTGGTGTTTCCAGTTTTGTGTGTGTATGTGTTTCTTCACACAAGCGCTAGCATGTTATGCCCACATTTTTGTACCTTCCTTTTTTCATTTCTATATCCATCCATACAGAAATCCCTCATTGAATTACCCAATAGGCCAACATATTGATATACTATAATTAGCTTACTTAACTAGTTCCTATCTAATGTTTGGTAGAGTGGAGGGTCAGCAAAGGAGGGGAAGGCCCTCAGGATGGATTGACACAGTGGCTGCAGTGATGGGCTCAGGTATAACAGGGATCATGAGGCTGTCACAGGACTGGGTAGTGTTTCGTTCTGTTGTACATAAGGTCGCTATGAGTCAGAGATGACAGCACCTAACAACAACAGCAACAACATTTAATGGATATTTCGATTGTTACAGTGTGTTGCTAGTACATGCAACACTGGAGTAAATATCCTTGTTCATAGTCTTTTATTCACTCTCTTTAATTTTTTAAAGTTACGCAACATGTAGGAAATGGATTAATTAAATTTAAAGGACTCTGAATACTTGAAACTTCGTATTAAAGTACATATGAATCTGCTTGTGTGTTCATGTGTGCACATGTGCACACATGCTTTTAAAATCCCAGTTGTACTAAGTAAAATACATCTAAAGATGTACTGAAGTTCTGAAACAAGTTCACTTACGATTGACTAAAATGACTTACTTTCCAGATTTCTAATAAATCAGAGCAATAAATTTCTCAAGACACATTTTCTGTATTTTTTCCCTTGTGATACTTGTGTATTTATTTGCCTATTGTGAAGTGTCTTGCTAGCCTACAGAGAATTGCAGAAGTGTCCTAAGGATGATGTGTAACAGAGAGAGTCACATAGATCCAAAGATCGGGGAATAATTTAGAGAATGACAGTATGGTCCTAATAATAAATGATTGACTCAGAATTCATTTCATTTCAAGCTATAGCTCTGCCTGTGATTCATACTCTTTATTATCATTCTTTTTCTTCGTAATCTAGAATTTTGGTAGTTTTCAGTGGGATATAGCTGTCAAATAACTGAACTTAATTGATAAGTCCCCTTTAATGGGAGGTGTTTATATACCTGAGAAGATGATAAAAAATACAACGCATACCATTACTATCAGATGATAGAATTTTTGTAAGCTAATTTTGTGCATTTCTAGAACTATGATGTAGTTAGTGACACAGCTAAATGCCTCCAGAAATAAGGCTTATTCTATTAGGGTTTTATTATTTTTCTGTAAGTTAGGTAACACGGACTTGGGAGCCAGTCTGCCAAGATTTCAGTCGGGTTCAGTGACCTTGTCAAATTATTAACTTCTCTACACCTCTTTTTCCCATTTGTAAATTAGGAGATTAATAATAGTGTGGGTCAATTATATAAGTTTTTGTTCTTACATAAATGCTTCTTCTTATTATTACTATCACTCACATGGATAGAGGAATCCCTGGATGGTACAGATGGTTAATGTGCTCTGCTGCTAACCCAGAGGTTGGAGGATTAAGTCTACCGAGAGGTGGCTTGGATGACAGGCCTGGCAAACAAGTTACAAAAAGTCAGCCATTCAGAAACCCTATGGAAAACAAGTTGTACCTTGACACATGTGAGATCACCATGAGTTGGAATTGACTCAGTGGCAACTGGTGTTAGTTTTTAATGTGGATAGAAAAGTTTTGTTTTATTTTATATTTTATTTAACTATACAATGTCAGATTGTTCATTGTTCATCATGGAGACTTTCAAGGAAAAAACAAACCAAAAAACTGAGCACTGCTTAGATTGGATAGTGCTTTAAGTTAGGAACACGGGATTACTTTTTTCAGTGAGGATAATGCCCTCTGGTGGAAGTGTTTCATTTCCTCCTCTTTGTTATCAGTGTCGTTGGCTGCTGTGGAATTGATTCTGACTCACAGCAACCTCATGTCACAAAGTAGAACTGCCCCCAGGACTAGGCAGACTGTCATATCTTTGGAAGCAGAGTGCCACATATTTCTTCCACCTAGTGGCTGGGTGAGTTTGAGCTATCAAGTGAGCAGTTAACCATTGTGACACCAAGGCTCCTCTTGTTATCAGTAGATAATCTTATTTTTTTTCAGTAAATATATTCTTGAAATGTGGCTTGTAAATCAAACCATATTTTAGCTGCAGGAGAAGAGACCCACCACTTAAAGACATTCTGGAATGAGTGCCTTCTTATTCTAATACATTCTTATCTTAAAATAAATGGCTTTGTGAAACAGGGGATTCTCTTGTCAGTTGCATGAGAATCTGGTGAAAAAGCTTCTCTCTGAAGATTGACAGGTTTGTTGTGTATCTTCACTTAGTGAATTTTCAAATGACTGAGTAAAATGAAATAGATTTGGAAGGAAGAAAAGTATATATATATATATTTAAATCCCAACAGCCATCTCCAATTTGGTCTAGTTTTTAACTGAAATTTTAGTTCTTGTATTCACAAAATTGGATTGTCTGTAAGGTTTTCCTTATTTGGTTTTGCCTAAACAGGCTGGTGACCTTTCAGCCTGAGTCCCCAGAGATACCCAGTGAATGGAAGAAGAAAGGAAGACCTTGGAGGACTTTAGAGAGTAAAGGAGACAGATTACCACTTGGTGGAAGCCCTGTCGCTGTCATAACTTGGGGGCTGACAACTTGTTTAGAGTCCTCCAGTACACAGTGAATTACTATGTATTTCATGGTATTATGAAAATAATACTATGGAGAATTACTATGCACATGAAAGTTGGTTTTTTCCCTAACACAAACCAAACAGGATCTCATATCTTATAAGTGTGTTGTTGCTGTTATTAATTCCTGTAAATATTCACTAAATTTTATTTAAAGGAGGAGATAATGAAACAAACAGGAGGAAAAAAAATGACGCTCTCTACAGAGACCCTGTTATGATATATAGAAGAATGAGGTTTGAGAAAATGGAGCGTGATATGGAAGTTGATTGATTGTTAGGGTGGTGGTAGTGAAGTAGACATGGGGTGGATTAGGGAGCCATTTAGTAGAGTGGTTAATAGGAAAAATTTGGAGTCAAAACTAGCTTTCTCTTGGGTTAGACATTTATGAGCTGAGTTAGTTATTTA